AGATGGAGAGAAAATATATCCATTTATCCAGGGTGTTTCTCATTAATAGTTCTTTTTTTTTCTTTCCATGTGGGATATTAGTATATGAATACAGGAATTTCAACAAAACAGTCAAGATGTACATTGTTGGAGAGTTGAAGGCCAAGCCAAGACGATGAAGGAGGTTAATTTGAATCAAAAAGTGTTTGCAGAGTCCCAGCTCACTCAGTCCTTAACTCACAAGTATCAAATATTCGATAGCAGACAATGGGCTAGTCCTCTGCCGCCTGCTCCCGCTGGGTGGCCGCCATTTCAGCCACTATCTGGGCCAGCTCCTCCCTTCCCTTGTTCGGGTGTGGACCCGTCATGCCACTTCCTGGGTTTCGGTACCACTGTGTACCACTGTGTACCACAGTGCGATTGCAGCTCTCAGCTAGTGTTATGGCCTGACAGAGAATCCCTAAGACAATCTTTGCTATATGCATTTCAAAACAGCAGCTTTGAGAAGACTGTTTGCATCATGGATTGTTTAGAAATATATCTAGAGAAACTGAGTAGATTGCTAGCCAGTGCTCAGTGTTACTTCTCGTACAAGTCGAATGGGGAGGTCGCACAAGTGATAAGTTTATTACAGAACAAAGTCATTTTTTTATCTCATTTGCTCCCAGGTGATGCAGTAGATTCCAGCATTTACTTGTGGAAAGAAACAGTTGGATCCTGTTGATTTGGAGAACACCAGATGTCTTGCTTCTCTCAGGATACATATAAAAGAGTAATAGGAGTTCTCCGTCAAAAGTACACAATCTTGCAAAGCACTTTCCCCATAACTTTCACAGACAGACAGAGAAAATGATGTGACCTGTCTTGACAAGATTGTGGGTGTATGTTGTGAGCTTACAAATGTATCTGAATCTGTGGTGCCCTTCCAGTGATGTAAATGAAAATGATGTGACTGATGTGCTCAACCAACAAATACACTCTCACTTTTTGTTTGCTTATTGTGACTTGACTTTTGAAGGGAAAGCTTTCTTACTTGTCCTACAAATATCAGAATAAGAGAATGGCAGACCTGGGCTTACTATTTTTGGATCTTCACATCCATCTCAAATGATTTCCACTAACTGCGTTTCATATTCCTGATTGACAGATACAGATCAGAATCAAAATCAGAAAAAAATGTATTGCCTTTGTCAGTGAACAAAAATCTACAAACTAGCCACTTGCTTCATAACAAAAATAGCATTAATTTAGAATTTTAATTTAGCTTTGATGATCTTCCCCTCTTGTGTGCGGCATTGGGAGAGGTTGTGATACAGTTGGTCTTGCTCAGCAGCAGTCAGAGGTGGGAAAGCTTGGAGGCCAGGACGATCTTTTGCAGATTTCTCTTTTTTTATTTTGTTTAGAGTTGTTAAAAATGATGTCCTTGCATTGCTAATACTCCACTTTCTTTAAAGACTCCTCACTTGGAATGGCCCACTTGCACTTCTTAGATGTAACAGCTATCTCTTCTTTTTTTTTCCACTGGTATGCTGCCATGTCCTGAACAAAGCAGCTGACACATGTGAGCAGCTCTCACCAAGGCCAGCTGTGCAGTTACAGTGTGCTCCCAAGACAACCCCGTCTTTTCTCACTACTACCCATGGCTTTAACAGTGGGTCATTAAGCCTTTGGGAATGTTGAACCTATAAATACAATTACAAATGTTAAGTACACCAAAAACACAAAATAGCTACTGACAACCAGACGTGTTTTAGCAAACGACAACGCTAACGATGTCACACCGCCTCGGATAATATGACACTTACCTTTCCAGTGATGATGCAGAATTTTTTTTTGCTTGAAGATTCCACAGCTGTTGCAAAGCCAGATTGAGTCCATTTGTAACCCTCCAGGCTTTTGTAAGCTTTTAAAGAGTCCCCCGAGTAGTAGGATGGGAAGTTTATAAGGTAGTTATGTATGTCCAGATAGCATAGATCTGGGACGCTGAAATACTTTTGCTCTGTTCTCAAAATATATTTTCAATATAAAATGTCAAGCAAATCAAACTGTACATTATAATGCATGTCAAACTCTCTGCAAGGGAATTTTTGTAACTCTGTAAGGGGCTTTTTGATGTTGTGGGTTTCCTGTTTGACGGCTGATGAGGAGGCTGAAGTTGACTTTACTGTCAGAGTTGTATTGTTGTAGCTTCAAGACAGAGAAAGTATTATTTATTCTTTGTATTATGTCCTTGAAACAAACTTTGCTCATTATAAACTTAGCTACAGTGTTTCATTCTGTTAAAGATAATAGCTGATTGGTAACATGAGACAAAACACAGAAAATTAGTTAAAAATAGGCATCATGAATTGTTGTAAACAAAAAGCCATCCTAACCACTGTTGTAGATGGATTTAAGTAATATATTCATATATATCTTGCTGCCAAGGATGGCACAACCAGTTATTAGGTTAAGGGGAAAATGACTTTTTCAGGTTGGGGCCTGATAGTATTTGAATAACTTTTTCACATTGCATTTTGACTGTAGACTGACGAAGTCACTTGGATGAGTGACGAAACGTTTCTCCCACTGAAAACGTTACATCCAGATGAACAGAATCAACTTTTGGAGATTTACTTACCTGGATGATTGAGCATGCATCAAGACATTGCATTTTGAATTCACTCGTGCTAGCTTTCTGTAGTATTCAAATGGATTTGATCATCTGAAATATGTGTTGACATAAGTTTTAGTCTGTTTTTGTAAAGCACACATAAAAATACTTGAAAAACTAATACTATAACATTGTCCTGTAATCGTTATTATAATAAAATGTCCTTTGTCTGTAATGTTAAACTCACTTCAGGGCCACATAACCTGCAATTTCCAAACCTACTTTGCATTTCCCTGATGAATCATGAGACATATAAATTCTTAAAAAACAACTTAATTTTTACATTTTTTAACATTACTGTTGGCTGAAAGCAATTTTAAAAGCAATTTTATTGTTCTATAACCATAAATATAGGATCCTAAAACAGAGGAGCTATTTTTACTTGCTGACTTTACATCAAATTTACATGCAGACTAAGCATACATTTGTTTTTATAATAATATTAATCAATATGTGCTCTCAGACCAACAAAGAGCAGTGAGGTTGACGCTGAAAGAATAACAACTAAGCCTGTCTTTTAAACATTAATTTAACAAAATATTAATTATAGTGCTTCAGAATTTCTTGTGTCGTAATGATAGCGTTGTTGTTAATAAATGTTATGTTTTTCTTGCTATCAATCCTGCCTTTAAATTAGCTAAACTTCATCAATATACCAACTCTTTTCCAGTCTGCAACATACACTCATGTCACTAATTTATCTACAGCAGCAGTGCTAATTTAAATTGGTGTTATGTGCTTAATCGCTTCATATTTTTCTCATAGTATAGTTTTATCTTTCTTTGTAAAATCAGCCACTTTGTTGCCAGTACACTTATCAACACCACCTATTTCATGTGAATGTGTATGGGAAACCCTGGGTTAAGTTAACGAGTTATTAAACTGCTTCATGTGACCAGTTATCCTGACTGCCAATATCAGGGTAAGTGAATCCAGAAAACGAAAAAATAACTTAGCTGTGCTGAACTTCCTTTCTAGTACATGGTTCTGGAGCAGCATGTTTGAGATTAGACTAAGAGCAAGATCTTATAACTTTGGATGTCCTATCAGCTTAACTGTCCATCTCCCTATCCTTGTTAGTCTAGAGGATGTTGTGTTCATTTTTTCCAATTGCAAACTTTGATTCATCTGACTATAGAAGAATTTTGCATCAGTTAATATTAAATGAGCTTTGATATAGAGAAGATGGTGGCATTTCTGCATCATGTTCACATTTGGCTTTTTCTTGTAATGATAAAGTTTATTCTGCATTTGTGGATGGCACTGCGAATTGTGCTAATAAATGCTAACGATCATTGGCAATCAATATTTATTTTAAGCATTTTCATGTGTGTACAGAACTTTCCACATATTCTTAGACTCTCTGGGTGATATTATGGACTTGTGCACAATTTAACATTGAGGAAATTGTTCCACAATTTGTAGATGCAGATTTTTTTTAGATTGGTGAACCTCCCCCAGTCATTACTTCTGAGAAGCTCTGCCTTTCAAAGTTAGTTGACAATCAAATGTTATTCCTTTGCACAACATTTGACTGAAAGTGCTTGAAAAACTATTTCATCTAGAGTACAGATCTTGCTATCATACTATGACCATTTAAGACATAATGTTTGTAGTTGAACCATGTTTGCCAAGGGCCATCCTGTCCCCAACCACATCATAACCACAAGGTAGGCCAACAAAGCCACTTGGACAAATCTTAAAGCAACACTATCAAGCAGATAGGTGCGGATGAGGACAGATGTGGTGCTTAATGTAGTGCAAGATGGTGGTTCAGCACATCTCCCTCTATACGCACAGCACCAAATAGTAGAGTTGGATATGAAATGTTAAATTAACATCGATATCTATTAGTCTTCAAAATGACACAAAAATGTCCAAAAACTGTAGGTTTTCTGAGTAGTATATATGAATCTGTAAAAGAACCATTTAGAAATTAATACAACTGGTATAATAGTATGTTAAATTGCTTTTGGCCTGGGCCTTTTTGTTTTATACTCTTTTTTGTGTGAGTCAAACCATTCACGGTAGGCTGTCGATCAGTAAGGGAAATGCAAAATATTCACAATTAAAATAGGTTACATTTTAATGAACTTTATTACGTTTAAAAAATATTGTAGCCTACAGTGTATCTGAAAATTCACTGTTTTAAAGCACAGCACACAGATGTATTACAATGATCACATAAATACTAAGGGTTTGTTATAGGAGGATTAAGAAGTTAAAATGATATTTCTAAGTTAAGGTGACTTTAACACCAAGTCGCAATTTTAAAAACTTTGCTAACACAGTAAATATTTATTATTTTTAAATATCTAAGCATTAGAATTCTTGTGGAGGTAATCACTTCCTTACATTGATTTTTGGGGGAAAAAAAGACCATAATCTTACATAATCTTTCCTTATCAGATCTGGTAGCACAGACTACTTATCAATAATACTTAGTAACCATACTGAGGAAAAAAAAAGTTCATTACATGTGAAAACTATTCATGGTTGTGTAGGCACTGAAATCTGAACTCTGGGCAATCCTCTTCTTTGGTCTCTGAGATACTGGCTGGATTTCCAGTGCTGCATAACACACATCTTCATTCTAAAATTTCATAATTATTTAGAATTATCATCAAGCACTGACAAATGATAAATGCATTTTAGAGCTAAATAGCTTTGTGTCATTACTATAAAAAAATCAAGCTGTAGCAAAGACAATAAATATGATATATGACCTGATTTCTTCTCATCTGGTCTCTGCTCTCATATCTTTTCTCATCAGCCAGAGGTTTCTTAGCTATGAACATTTAAAAAAAATTTAAAATGTACAAAGGCTCTTTTCTTTTACTAGACAAAACTCTGTGATGGTCAAATGATCATGGAACTAAAGTGATGAAAAATCTTGTTGTACAAATGAAACAGAGCGGTTACCTGTCTTGTGATGGTAATATATCAAAAGAGAACATAGCAGAGATGAGAGGGCCACAAAAGCTGGACACAGAGAGAAGAGAAGCATCCAGCATATACCACAGTCTTTTTGCGTGGTTTGAGGCTCACGGGGGTCTGAGTAAAAAAAGCTTTGAAATTAGTCTTTTTTCCCCCTAAATTATTCAGGTAAAAGATCTGGGGATAATTTTAAGTATGATGTTGTTAGTTGCATTACAAAGACCAACCTGTACCAGAATGACAAACATGTGAAACATATAGCAATGAACTTTCTGCTCAGATTCAGCCAACGGTAGTACAGAAGGAAAATAAACCATAACATATAATAATAGGCACCCAGTAGTTTTTGAAAATTAAGAAAAAGAATATCCTGCAGTGTCTGTTTCAGTCACCTGAATACCTATTTTGCTTACAATAAAGCAAGCAAAATACATGAAGCTGTAGTAAAAGCCTGGCAAATTATTCTGAAGGAAGAATATATCTTAAAAAATTATTAAACATAAACGTTTGTTTTATTTCTATGTTTATTTATTTCTGTATTTGTATTTTTACCATTATATTCATGTCAAATTGTTGTAATAAGCAGACAGATCATTTATTGATGACTCACACTAGAATACTTACGAAGTAGGATCTTTGTGGTGAGGTTTCCATATCTATAAAGGCATTCAAGATTAATTGTTTCTTTGTCCTTCACCTTAGACTGTTCAGTTCCACAGTAGTAGAAGCCCTCATCTGAATCAGTGATGTTTGTGATCAGCAGGTCATAGGATTGCGAGGAATGATTTTTCACAAGATGGAAATTAGGGAGTGGATTCAGAAGGTTTTGATAATCAATACCTGGTTTATATTGTCTTTGCTCAAGCTTTGTTTTTAGAACAAGAGAAGGTTGTTTCTCATGAGAGCAATTCCTGTACCACACTATGAATTCTCCAGTTGAAGTTTTACAGTCACAGTAGAGAGTTATGTTTTCTCCTGGTCTGACCATCATCTCCAACACTGTTCCACTGGTCAAATTATGACTAGAAGTTAAAGCTCCTATGGGACCTATACACAAAAACATTAGAAGA